CAGTCGTCGACGATTCTGATAGTCGACGTAATCGTGACTAGTCGACTAATCGTGGCAGCCCTAATGCACAGTAATAGCAGGTTTTGTAATAAGGCAGATCGCGCTAACATAATATGCACTGTTAGTTGATTATTTACCTGGCGCATTAACGGGAGAGGACGTGCAAACGTTACCGCTGCTGCTGGGTTGAGATTCACGAGTCTGGAGCGGAATTAAAAACACAACATTCATTTAAAGTTATCGTGTGTTTTGTGAGTAAATGCTTTTGCATATTCATAGTGTTTCCTCCCTTAATGAAATATCTACTTTGCAAGTTGCCCTGTTGTTCTCGTAAAGTATAATCAAACTTTTGAGCGTTTGCGGCCAGGTAAATGACGCTCCGCAACGTGGTGACGTCATTCGGGGCGACTGGAATCGATAAGGGAATCGTTTGCAAAAATGGCAAACAATTCCAAGGAATTGAAACAGTGGGAACCGGTTCTCAACAAGAACCGGGTTTCGATACCCATCCCTACAGAAGAGAATAATCAGACTGCGTGGAAGTGGATGGAAAGGAGGAAGACAATAACTTAAACAACAACCTGTTATAACGAAGCTATGCAGAAGAGAATCTCTGAATGTACAACAGGTCGAACTTTGAGCCAAATGAGCGACGGCAGCAGAAGACCACACTGGGTACCACTCCAGTCTGCCTCCACAGTCATCAGATATCAGTCCAATAAAGCACCATAGGGATGTGATAGAATGTTAGATTCACATTATGGACGTGCAGCAAACAAATGTGCACTGTGTGATGCTGTCATGTCAACATGGACTAAAAGCTGTGAATGCCTTGTTGAATCTATGCCCCTATCACACTGGGGATTCACTGGTGAAAATGAGATGTTACAGAGTGCCGATGTAATAAAACAGCATCAATATGAGCCAAAATGATTGTGGGCATGAGTAGTTATTAAATTATGTTGCCATTGTGACTCCTTCATGAAACCACTCATATGGGCTAGAGTCCTCACAAACCAAAAAACTGAGAAGCTTGTTGTGTATTTGTCCAGAGCCGTTCGATAAATCAGGCTGAAATGATCAAAACAAAGACCAAAATGTCCATTTGTGAAATCTGACTGGGCTTCAAACAACTAAGTATTATAAAAAAAAACCCACTGACAACATGAAGCAAGTGGGTCTCAGGATAAAGGTTTCTCAATTTCGAGGGAGCGATTGAGGTGGCTACCAATTAAAGAACAGGATACAGGTAATTGTTATACAACAGATGAGTAAATACATTTGAGTTACCTAGGCAACCAGAGCCTAAAATGTCCACTAGTGACCAAAGCGATGTGCGATGTGTGTGGATACAGCTTCAGGCTCTGAAGTCCATGCAAATTTGTTACGTATAAAACTGGAGAGTGATAAACAAATATCTCTTCTCAGCCTCCAGGTGGATGCAGGTGGTGGAGAGCAGCACTGACGTGTCAGAGGCAGAGATGAGAAAGTCTGCAGGTTAAATTGACTACCAAATTGCGAGGGTGTGTTTGATAAATGACATGAGCAGAGTGAGCCACGAGAGTATTTATGATGCAGGCTTTGCCAGTGCATGTAAAGTGGGATTTTTGTCAGTGAGCAGAACTACTCTCAGCTGATCCCTTATTCAAAGGGGTCACCACAGCAGGTAGCCTCACATGTTTGATTTGGGAATTTAACACCAGACGCCCTCCTTGTTTCAACCTGCAAGGGATTTGCGTCTCCTCCTAGAACTGAACCAGGGATGTTTTTCTTGTTAGGCAAATGTATGGAAACTACTTCACATCAAGCCAGAAGAAAATATTAAGGATTTTCATCAGTAAGCATCACTGTACACTGTAGCGGAGCTGCAGATTAATAACTGAAAATTGGGGTTATCACAGAGAACTTCCAGAAACAAATGCCTGACAGCTTATTTCCCAGTCCCTGGTCATTGAGGATGCTAGGATATTATGAAACTGT